GGAAAAGAAGTGAAAAAAAGTGGGAAAACACTGGTTCGACGAAAATTTATTGCTATATCCGAAAGACGCCAAGAGTTTCCGGTGCACAGCCTTTTAAACCCGTTGGTGTAAAGACAAAAAAAGACAGCTGATTGATTCAGTAGGTAAAGAGACGGAATGAAATTTTTTGTCAAATTTCTGAAAGTTGTTGTTAATCGGTTAGATTTCCGAAAAATGTTTTGCTTTTGTTAAGGTGAACTTTGTACCATACCAAAACAAAACGTATATGGCTGTGAAGCTTGAACAGCCCACAACATTCGTCGTATTAAAATATGCTGCCTATGACTACACGGCTGGTCGGTGGATCGAAAAGGACAAAAGTACTGCACGAGTGGAAATTGATGGTCGAACACAGAGGCTTTTTTTGGACAGGTCTTTGCTTTAAATCGTAAATAATGAATAGGAGTCTGAACAAAAAAGGCCAGGAGTGCCAAAAAATTTGATAGCAGGATTACTGAATTTGGGAGAGTAGCTTTCTCAAACATTGCGGTACCCGACTTTTCAAAACCTTATACTGAGCCTTCTAAAAGTTGTGTTATTTGATTATATCACGAAGCTAGATGTAGCAGTGAGCACCCTTACAATCGAACTTTTTGCCGTTACATGTGAAAAAAATTTCGCTTTATAAAAACCAGTGTGAGTTTTGAAACACATCGGTTAGTTGAATGTTTGAATGATTGAATGCAAAGTTTGCTTTTAGATGGCGAAGGATAGAGTTAGGAGTAAGCGTAGGTGGTCGAGCAAGTCATCAGCTGGAAACGGGTATGTATTTTGCAGTAAGTAATCCCGGCGGAGAGATGGACGAACTGCGGCAGCAGTCTATCAATGAACTCAACGAAAATAGGTGGACAATTCACTGTTAATTACACTGTTTGTCTGTATTTTATACAGTTCATGAAACCAGCAAGAAACAACAGAAAAGTACAGAGATTTGTTCATAACACGGGTTAGAACATGAACAAAACAGTGCCTCAATAAAAAAATAGTGATACTACCAACGTAGCTGGTGCGATCATGCGTTTTATTTAACTTTGTCCAGCGAATACTTGTGCAATTCTGTCCAGCAGACGTTTTTGCAACTCTGTCCAGCTAATGCTTGTGCAACTCTGTCTGCTGCATTAGTGACTGATGCATCACAAGACAATTTTAAAAACTTTC